CCCCCGGCAATGGCTTCTCTGTGACCACTCCTCACGCCATCCTGTGCTAGGCTCAGAACTAAAGCCCTGTCTTGGTAAGGCCATGCTTGACTCCTGAGCCTGGGTGGACACCGTGCTGGGCTCCGGGCTCTCTGGTAACCACAAACATTGGGCAAGCTGGCAGCATGCTACACCACAGTGAAGTTCTTTCCACCCTGACACAGGCGTTGGAGATGGAGGGTGCAGGTGTGCTGACTAGACACAGCAAAACCCTTTCTTCTCGTACAGGAGCGGACACATGCTAAGCAGAAAAGTTAATGAAACATCAGGAAAAAGAGCAGTTTTCTGGAATAATATGGAATGTATAGCATCAGTTTGGTTTTGGTTCCTTTTTAAGCACCTGATTCTGTTTTTACATTGTATTCAAGATGTTTTTTTCCTGCTTGAACTCTTGATAATACTTTTCTTTCCGTATCTTTTCTGCAAGCAAAACTGAGTTGCTGCACCCATCTTTTGAATATGCGTTCCATGGCAGAACATACGTCATTTCTAAGGACTACTGAGAAAAGATAGTATTTGTACTGCACAAAATTAGCTTCCTTTGCTTGGGAGCACATCTTATTTCTGCTCTGTAAACAGCCTTCTTAGAACAGGAAAGAAGATTTTAGGAGATCAATTTAACATACCAAAAAGCTATTGGCCATCAGTTTCTGTAGTACATGGAAATTAGTGTTACTGGTGGTACATGCAGAAAGGAAAACTGACTGACAGTGACTTATTTCAGTAACTTTGGCTGCAATGAGTTCCACAGGAGATGCTGACATTTACTGAAGTTACAAATGCACAGAAATGATGCAGTTAGCTCCTCACAGTGGTATGAGACATCTATGCTATTAGAGCCTGTGATGAATGAAACAATCATCAAAGCTATAATTTGGATATTCTTCCCTGCTCCTTTTTCCTGTTCCAAGCCAGATCAGCCACGAGACCAAACATAAATGAAGAATCTGCATTTTTTCAAGCGGAAGGCCTGAACATCAGAAAATAACGCTCTCATTTCATTATTTAATATTCATGACTACAAAGGCTAAAGCCCCAGTCTAAATAAAGTATGTAATGTGCTGCTGGCTGACATCAGTTTGTGTTAGCTGTCATTACTGAACATTCTTCTGGAGAACTACTGCAGCGTTTCACAGATTTTTAAGGTCTGCCTTTCAGTTCATATAAAAATATAGTGCTTGCCCCTAAAGAGGAGAAACTATGAATACTATGAAATTTTAAGTTTATTTGAGAATAGAATTCTATGAAACAGGTTTCAAAAGAGGTCATGTTTTAAAAAAAAAAAGTTTCCAAGTTCTCACTTACTTTTCTGGTTGTTTTCATAGAATGGTCTGGGGTGGAAGGGACCTTAAAGATCATCTAGTTCCAAATCCCCTGCTATGGACAGGGACACTATTTTATTTTTGCCACTTAATGACAAATCAAATCACTTACGTATCAAGTGTTTAACATTTTAGATCAAATAATTTGAGTAGTCAAGTAATTTGATCAAGTCCTCGTTTTAGCAAGCTGCATGGACCACAGCAGTTTTCAAGACAAAGTTATTAACAAAATAGAAACGTCCCAACATGCAAATTTCTTCCTCAAAGTGAATTTTAAATCAACTGTCACAGATAATTTATCTATGTAAGGCTGAGCAACCAAAATAGTTCAATATTCCTTTGCACTGGCAAGGTAAGTCACCAGACTCCTAGATCAGAACACGCCTTCATACAGTAGGTCTGACTGCTGACTTTTGGTGTCAAAAGTAGCAAACAAGATTGTTTTGCTTGGCAAAAATAAACAATTCGTGTGCTCTTAGGGATCAGTCAAGCAACTGTTGTTAGTGGACTCTCCAGGTGACATCATATTCTTTTCATAGAGTGTTCTACAAATATTGAATACAATAATGACCCTATTTATTTTTCTAAATGTGGGCTGTTAAGTACGTTTATTTTCTAAAACTTACATTTCAGTGACAGAAAACATTTCCTTCTCTTTCTCTCCTTAACTGAATCATGCAGCCATCATTGAAAGGAAAGGGCACTGCACTGGTTATTAAATTCTTATGGTTTCTCAACAAAATGCATGTAATAATATGGGAAACTTATACCAATATACTTAAAAGAGCTTGAACAATCCTTAGTGCTTAATAGCACACCAGTTCCACTCAACTAAAATTGATGTAAGTGCTGAGCATGCATCATTTCTTCACTCCTACATGCACCATTTCCATGAGATGTGTACAGTCAGCCTGGATGGCAGAAGCTGAAGAGGGATTTCCTGGCAGCCGCTGGTGCTGTGTGCCTGCAGCCAAACCATGCTCCTCACAAAGGTGATGAGGCTCTGGCAGGGCTGCTGCACAAGTTGGAAATTACAGTGTTATTTTCCCACAGAGCTTGAGCTAATAAGCACAGATTGTACAGATTGGGCAACGCTGGCATGGGAATTGCAGAGCCAAAAGCACCACGTGGTTCTTAGCCCCTGTTCAGGACCTTGCTGGACTATACAAGTCAGCCAACTGTTCATACCTCACTCTTTATACCAAGTTACATGGGTTCTGTCAATGCCAAAGGTATTCCAGCATCTTGTAGATTCCTTTATTTCCTGTGCTCCTCAAGATGGTCACCAGTGCCTATGCCAAAGCATGGTCTGACAAGCACTGGAAGCGTTGTATCGTATGTTCTTGGCAAGGTAGTATTTCTACAGTGCAGTCTTTCAAAATCTCAATCTAGCGAGGGAATGTGCAGTGAGCAAGTACAGTTCAGCATAAAAGCTGATGTGTTGCTCTTCATTTGTCATCTCAACCTTTTGAGAACCTTTCCAAAAGCAATGTTCACTAAAAAGTATCATCTTACATGTTAATAAACTGGAAATTATCACTGAAAGTAAAACAAAATAGAAGGAAACCTTACGCTGCAGGACAACTCATTTGAAGACTATGTAAAAACCACTCATCAAAACTATCATATTGCGAAAATTGGTAAGAATTCTTATTTATAAGTTTTACTTAAGATTCAAGATGTATTTTTCTCATTGTGGCCATGAAAAAATCCCAGCCCAAGTTGGCTATTCTAACCTTGGTTTCCTTTGTCATTAATTCATTTAATCAGTCCTCACACTCAGTTAAAACTCTATTTGTAAGGTGATTTTGCAATAAATAACTGCACAAAAAGAGCCCCTCCACTTATTACCTAAACCTACCAAAATCTCCTGAGCACTGAAAAGCATATATGGTGCGAATATTTCCCTGAAGCAGACAACTTTGTAGCTAATTTAACAGCTTAAAACTGCATTTCCACTTCCTCTCTTTTCTCATCCTCCTCCCTCCCCTAAAAGCACCTTATCTATATTAACTATGGCTTACTTTAAATGTGGTCCTCCGAGTCACCTTTAGTATAAAATATGTGATATCCCAATTCAATTATGACAACTTTTATTTGATTTTTCTGATATTAGTAGGAAAACAATGCAGCTGCTCTGGTTACTAAAGCCTTTGATTTTTATTTAGAAGCAAGTTTCAGGGCTTTACTAATGAGCATGGCAACATAAAGCATGTTTTAAAGATACTGCATTTTACTGGGGTCAAAAAATGCTCAAAAATAGGAGCTTGTTAGTGGTGTTCTTCTCCCTCACTTTTCCAACCAGCTCACGTATAGGAAACAGACTCTTGTTGTTAGTGGACTCTCCAGGTGACATGTTTTAGACAGACACTCCGACTTTTTCTTTAGAGTGCAAAAGATGTTCTTAAGCGATAAGACAGACTCCCAGTCCTCTTTTCTATAAAGAAGGAAAACTCTGCCAGATTGTTCTGGCATAACCCCATTCGTTTTTCCTGCAGTGACAATTGGTAGAGAATGAAAGCACCCTCTGGGACATGGAGGGTTCAGTTTCCTTTGGCAGCAGTCTTCAGTGGAAGCAAACCTGAATTATTTCACTTCAAAGCAACAAATACGGATATAATTTTTTTTTCTTTGAATGTCAAAAACATGCACATTAACCAAAACCAACCTTCACAAGAATCCTACAGCATAAGATTGCTTAGCCAAAACCAAACCAAACCCCAACCAAATTGTTACTAGTTCAAACGTAGAAATCAGTCAACAGTACCTTAAGATCCAGTGGGTGGGGTGGGAGGGATGGCACAGGGGAAGGGTATCACATAGCATTCAGTAATGCCAACTGACAAACTTACAATAGACATTCCTAAAGGGAAAAAAAAAAGCATATGACCATTATGGCTATCTATCTTAAAATTTATAGCCTGTTTCTGTTCTTGTTACACCAAACTTCATTAGAACAATCATTATTTTTCTATCATTTATTTATTTCAGTTAGGTGAGATAAATACATTGCTGTATTCACCTGGGTGTGCCCTCCACAGTCCTACCATTTGAACTAGCATTAATTACTAATGTAGCTTTTCTGAGCCAAAGATCCATGTTGATTTTCCATATATACAAACAGCAAACACTGGTTTAACTAAAGCTTTTTGACAGTTTATTAACATCATCAGGCTTGAGAAACAAAATTAAGTTTTATTCAAAATGTAGACTAAGATAATTTTAAAAATATGTCAGTGCTCACCAACAGTAAGAAGAAACAGTCCTTTTTCTGCCTTTTATCTTCCATAAATTTATTTATAAATAATGCACTGAAAAAAAATCCCAAGTCACCTGTAAAAGTTTTTTATAATATTCTTTTATCAATATAATTAGAAGATGGAGATAACCTCACATTTCAAGTTTTTACCCATTAACATACCACATATTCCACTCAGAACGTTATCTGTGAATGATACAAAAGATAATCCTGCTCTGAACTAGCTCATCATTATTATGATGAAATATCACAGACGGTAATTCCCAAAACTTTTAAGAGGGTGGAAGGGGGAAAACCCCACCACATGAAAGTCTTGCACAAAATGCATGCGTGTATATGAATACCCAAAGTTGCTTTAGGAACAAGCAGCAAGAAATAGCAAGGACAAATGCAAAGTTTATTCCATGTATGCTACAATTAATCAACATGATAGGGAAGTATCAAAATTTGTACTATTAACATATGGCAATGGTTTTATTGTTACAATGCATTGCATTAGCCCCACTGGAAAAGGCTTTCAAGCTGCAGACAGTGCAATTGCATTAAATCTTAATTCTTCTGGGTCACGTTCCATGAATTTCTTGCAAACTTCTATTGCGTCCTAGGAAAAAAAAGTAAAAAACAGAAAAACAAAAACCACTATAAATCATATTTATTAAAAAAAAAGCCCCACAACTGAAATATAAAGATATGCTTCATACAATCTATGCTTAAAATGGGTTTTTCTATAAAGGATTACTAAATAGGGTAGCAAATATATATAAACTGTACTTCTGATGTGTTACCATTATTCAAAATTATTTACAGAGCTCACATGGGCAGCATAGGAGCAAAAGTTTTATGCAGACCGTTAGCAACAATGACTTTTTGTGACTGAATATTATTTTGTGTCACAGATGTGTTGCTTTTCTGACTTTCTAAATGCATCTCAGAAGTTTGCCTTTACTAGTACTGCTGTACGCAGAAATGTTCCCTTTGTCTCAAGATGAATTTAAGCTGTGTGGGGTAAGTGAAAGATTATAAGTAATTCCTTCATCTAGCTTTAGGGTGCAATCTGGAGAACACATGTTATCAGTAAAGCAGAAAAAAGCCACATATGAAAAAAGGAAAGCTTTATTCAGCTTTTTCCCCTGCCCAAACAAGCACAAACTGTATGCAAGCTTCACAGACGTTAGTCTATGCTACTAAACTATAAAAGGTTTTGCTTGGTCATTTTTTAATTTCTCTGGTTTCTTCCTTTTGTAAAGCTAATCCGGTCTGGATACCGCAAAAGTCAGATCTATGCACTGCCTTCTGTCAGCCTAAACTTCGCATCATTCTGTGGGGATGACAGTTCATGCTCCCAATTCAGTATGTTCCTTTCCAACTCATCTCTCAACTCAATAGCTCCAGACACAAAAGAGCACCCAAAAGAAGTCACGAAACTGGAGAAGAATGATTGTTAGCAAGCATGAGACAGGAAATCAACTTCTGTCTAGCATGGCACCTATCAAACTAAACTAAAGAGAATGAAAAATTATCCTTCATCTCATATACAGTATTAAAGGATCAGGGGTATGTGAAAGTCTCAGCACAGAAGAAAAGTCAGTCTGGTCTTCTGTTATGGTTAACCCTTCTGACATTTCTTCTTATCATGTTATGATACTCTGTCATCCAGAGTTAGAACATCAGTGTTCTGAAATACTTGTTTTAAAACTAAGTAAACCTAATTCTGTCTCACCATTCCACTCGCTGTATTCCTCATTCAACCATAAATGTAGCAAGACTGTTGTATAAATATTTTTATAATTCTTAAAAATAAATTTTGTGGAAATTAACAAGAATTCTGTATAACAGCATTTAAGAAGATTTTCTATTCCTACCTCTAAAAAAGAATCGTCGCTAGTTTCCCCATGGTTTATTGGAAATGGCTTGCGCCCATCTGTTGAAAGAGAAAGTGAGATTGAACAACACATTTATAAAATTAGAAAAGCTTCATTTTTCCAGTTAAAACTATTTGGACAGATTTTATTTTTGGTTTTTTTTTTTAAACAAAAATGCTACCTCATTTTTCATAAGAGAATCACACATGCCACTAGCTATTCCCTGGTCTCTCCTCCACTGCTGACTGCTTCAACAGGTATCACTATGTATCATCAGTCTGCTACTTTAGAAAAACATAATCCAATCAAAACAACTTTTTAATATTTCATTTGAAAACTCTAAGGCTATAAGTTGTGATTGTTTTAGTGCTGGCGTAGTACTTTGTTTTTTTCAAGTAAAGAAGAACAATTTCAACTACACTTAATGGACGTACCCGGACAGACAGCTGTACATCTGTGGTCTCTGACAGCTGCCATCAGGCACTCCACGACAGAACAGAATACCAAACCCATTAGTTTGATGAGTCTGGCATAACTGAAATGTTACTCTCATTTAAAAGAAATAAGCAAACAAACCTAGTAACTTCAAGTATTAAGGACTTTCACATCATTTAAAAATGATTATCATAATGAATTATATTTTCTGCCATTTGCAATGTGACAATGTTATTCTCAGTATTTTAAAAATAATTTTATTCACAGAAATATGTTTCAGGTTACTTGTAAAAAGCTAACAGTCTGAGGACATCTGTCAGGATATCCTAAGTATTTGCTAGACTGAATTCCCTTTTGGCTCTGTCCTCCCTTCTAAAGACTTTTCCCTGCCCGAAGATTCCATCAAAGTTGAGAACACTTCCAAATTACATTTTCCACAACTAAAAATAGATTTGATGTTGAAAGACTTTTGGATTTACATGAACAAGACGTGGTTCATTACTGTAACGACCATGATTGAAGCTACAACCATGCAAAATCTTCAGAACATGTCAGGGAAACAGAACTGAATGACCTTTTCTATTGCAAGTTAAGTTTGAATCGAGTTGCCTTTTTTTTTTTTTTTCCCTAAACATGTATCTTGGCAGAACAGCATTTTAATTTCATGTGCCTATAAATAACGTGTTTTCTGTGGCAAACACATAAGCATTTAGCATCCATGTGCTTTCTTAGCATTTTCTGCCTGCCAAAGCCCACGTGCTGGCAGCAGTGACTGAAGCCACTAAATCAATTTAAAAGCCTTCTCCCATTTTCCTACTTTTAAGTACTTTTTTGCTTTCTTCTGCTGGTACATACAGAAGTTATTGTAAGAACAAAGGGAAATTGTAGTATTGTCATGCTACTACATTACAGTGGAGTTAAATGCCTCTTTTTTTTCCTTTTAATTTAATAAAAATAATTAAAAAAAAGGTGGGTTTTATCTTGCATCATACTTATGGAAAACAGTTAAACATGATACTCATAGTTTATAGTGTGCTTTTTAAGCAAATTAATGCACAATGGAAAGATAACGTGGAAATCACGGAATCATAATAGTAGCACACAACTAAAAGAAGACCAAGCCATCCATAACACCTTGAAATTCAGAGTAATAAAATATTTATATTGCATCCTACAGTACTTGCCTCACTATTTGATCTAATTCACTGACAGCCTCATGAAAATACAGAAATGTGTGCCTGTTGTTCCTGATTTACCACTGATAATACTCTTTAGATCACCTTAATAATAACATAAACACCTCTTACATACTGCTTATACCTCAGGTTGTGAATAATTGTCACCTGTTAAGGGCATTGCTCAATTACATTCTGATTTTCAAAAGATGAAAATGTTCTCAGCAGAAAACACTGCAAAAATTGTGTTAGGAAAGACCAGTGACTTGCAGTTTTCAAATCTTGATCTACTTGATAGTTTTCTGAAGAGCCTGCAGCAAAATCTAGTTGCCCAGCAACACGTTTAAGATTGGAGTCATTAGAGAATATTTGGGCAGAATTTGGTGCTACACAATCTCAACAGAGGAAAAAAAATAGCTGTGATTCAGAAAACAGAGACTACTGTTCTACAGTTAACTGTCTAGTAACCACAAAAATGTAAAAGTAAAAAAAAGGAGTTGCAGAGTGTTTGTATCTGCTAGTATCCTGACTAGTACTCTGCTCTCATGAGATCCCACTTGGGAGTACTGTGTGCAGCTCTGGTGTCCTCAACAAAAGAAGGACATGGAGCTGTTGGAGCAAGTCCAGAGGAGGGCCACGAGGAGGATAAGAGGACTGGAGCACCTCCCGTATGAAGACAGGCTGAGAAAGTTGGGGCTGCTTAGCCTGGAGAAAAGAAGGCTGCGTGGAGACCTCAGAGCAGCCTTCCAGTATCTGAAGGGGTCCTACAAGGATGGCAGAGAGGGACTCTTCATCAGGGACTGCAGCGATAGGACAAGGGGTAAGGCTTCAAACTTAAACAGGGGAAGTTCAAGTTAGATATAAGGAAGAAGTTCTTTACAGTGAGGGTGGTGAGGCACTGGGTTGCCCAAAGAAGTGGTAAATGCTCCATCTCTGGCAGTGTTCAAGGCCAGGTTGGACAGAGCCTTGGGCGACATGGTTTAGTGTGAGAAGTCCCTGTCCATGGCAGGGGGGGTGGAACCAGATGATCTTAAGGTCCTTTCCAACCCTAGCTATTCTACAATTGTATGACTACATCCTTTCAGTTTAAACTGCATCAAACTGTTTATTTATACAGCTAACACTTCTAAAGTGGTACACAGTTCATTTATTAATGCCACAAGCAATCTGGGAACAGAAATATAACAGTATTTCCCTCTCTGAAACTTCTGAGTGTTTGTCAATTCTTTCTTTGTCCTTGTAAATCATAAAGGAAACTTAGAGGCACTCTAGTATTCGGTACCATTTTATCTTAATAGGAGGGAGTTGAGGGAAGGAGAATCCAAAAAAAGCAATGTGAAGAAGGCTGTGATTGTTTGACAGAACACCCCCACAGACCCTATGATGTATCTGAAAAGAACCAGAGCTGTACCTTACATCAAGCAATCTCTCTCAAACACTGACAGTTAACAACATTACTACTTGTATTTGTTTCAAACAAATGGAGAGAGCAGATAAAGTGTTCTTACCCAATTCATAGAGATGACCACCTACGTTAACTAATGCAATAAAATGAAGATCTACTTTTTCATCTATACTTGGTGCCTGCAAGAAAAAAAAAACAAAATAAAAAGAAGTGTTGTTCACTAAAACGCTTATCACAATGTGATTAATGTGAACATATCATCATAATACGCAAAACACCTGGCCAAGACAAATGACAAGTGAGAAGCACATTCTGGATCTACACAGAACGGCAGAAGTCACGCTGCAGAACATTTTGGAATATAAAGAAGCTTTCTGCAATGCACAGGTTAGTAAGAATCCTTTCAGTAAAGTATCTTGAAGTATCTCCAATTATAGCTCTACATAAAAGCTTTATTTTTCATTATTGAATTAGAAGTATTATCAGCTCAAATACATTAACATTAAAAATAGATATTCCTATAAATAACAACTCCTTCATTAAATCATCTCCCATAACAAAGCGATGCAGGGGTGAACTCTGAACCTGTAGTATTTTAAACCCAAAAACATTCACTTGGTCAAAATAGTCTTTTCCTCATATGGTTAGCCACATATAGTACAGTTAATGTTCCCTCCTCAGAAGTGGTCAAGAGAAACAGTTCACATATCTTAGATGGGGAGGAAGGAAAATAACAAGAGGTTCCTAGACTAAAATTTCAAAGTGGCGTTACCGCCATCATACCAAGAAAGGACTCAAGTGGAGTGACAGCACCGAGTGATAAGACATAAAGAATGGTTACACTTGATAAAGAGCTATCTAGCCCAGTACTGTGTTGCTAAGTATAGCAAGCAAAAGCTTCTTCAGAAGAAACACATCACCACTGTTGTGTTCAATAGAAATTGATGGTTTATTTCCTCATCAATCTTTCCAGTCTGCAGCTGAGCCTCAAGCCACAGTTTAAGATACTGTTTGAGGGAATGGGAAAAGCACCTCAGTTTTACTTAAATCATCAAGAATCTGACTCCTGTGACAATATATTTCATGCAATTTTTCTTCCATTTTGCAATTACTGTTAGCTTTATGTGAATTTCTGGAAGTATCCCAAAACCCTAAGAATTTGCCAGAAACAGATTAAAACGAGTTGTAGAGTCTTACAGTCATATAATTTTTTCAAGACCAGATTAAAAATTTCCTTTGTCCTTATGGTTATGAGAAAAGACTTCAAAAAGATGATCTAAAATGAAGAAATGTAGCAAACACCCAGAACACAACATAGCAAAGGACAAGAAGTCACCATGAGGCCTTCAATACATCAAGAACACGAAAGAACAGAGTGTTACAGTAAGCCAGTAGGTTACTGAAATTCTATGTAGCAAGCTCAAAAATAAGAGAAAGAAAGAAAAACAAAACAAAAAACCCACAAAACCTCCTGTCACCCTCATTTGAGATGCATCTCTATGACCAGTTAAAGTGTGACAGGTGTAAATACCCTGTTTCATCTTTGTTTCAGAGGGCCTAGAGTAAAGAAAGTGCATTCCAGCCTCCGAGGAAGAGGCAGCTATCAACAGGACAAGAGGACCTTTCCACCAAAACTCCAAGGAGTCTTTCCCCTACGGCATAAGTGAATTGCCATTGAGAATTTTGTTTTACAGAAGGCCAAATAGATCCAGGACTTAGAACAAAAAAAAAAAACCAAAAAACAAGCAGAACAAGCAGACTCAGTTGTAAACTGTTGTAAACAGTTGTAAACTTCCAAGGACCACAGGTTTCCATAACTTCCTGACAACCACACAAGACAGTAGCCGACAACCAATGATACCTTGTTGTTACTCCCATCAATCAACCAACTTCTTACAAGGCATCTAAACTGTGCTGCTACAGAAGTGTGCAGTCAAGCGTAACTGAGTCCTCATCACATCCCACATTGCCACTTAATTCTCTTTGTAGATATGACTTCATGGCTGGTTCCTTATGAATTAAACATACCAACTGGGCTCAAGGAATTTCAGAGTTAGGGGAAAGACCACTGCTAGTTAGTCTCACTTCAGGAAGGAAACAGCTTAGCATTTAAAAGCTTTGAACATATGCTACCTGGGCTCAAACTGACATTAGCTATAAGAGCTGAAAGTACCACTACTTCAGAGGACTTTAAGAGGGGGTAAATGCTCCATCCCTGGCAGTGATTCAAGGCCAGGTTGGACAGCTTTGGGCAACGTGGTCTAGGGTGAGGCATCCCTGCCCATGGCAGGGCGACTAGAATTAGATGATCTTACGGTCCTTTCCAACCCTAACCATTCTATGATTCTACAATTCTGTGTTCAGGATTTGGTTTTGACCATATTTAGAACAAAATAGTTGCCCTTTTGACCATTTGAAGATTGGATTGTGTTCTTCGACAGCTTCTAATAAACACTTTTTCTATAGGAAGGAATATTTGGCATGCTTGGAATGTCAAGCCTACATACAGCTAGAAGATGGATAGGGAAGCCATCAAAAAAAGCATGATTAACTTTTCATAGTTTACTTGGAGACAGACTCCTACAGCATCCTGCTGAGTTTTTGTACATACATAATCTAAATAACATGCTTTCATGGTGCCATTGCCACAACCCGTAAGAAATGTTGTGTTTTAACATTTTTAATTCCCCAACCTCAGAGAATGAAAGTGCCATGCCATTACTAAAGCTTCTACCACATGGTGTAATGCAGACAGTCTCTTGTGACTTCTTCTCATATAATGTACAAAGCAGATTTATTATGTTGCTTGAAAATTTGGATTTCAATAATTTTTGACAATTATTTGCATAATCATAAGCACAGAGAAACAATAGGCTCTGAAAAGTCAAGATGACCTAACATGTTGTTAAAAAAAAAAAAAAAAAAAAAAAAAAAAATCGAAATACGTATTATGAATAAAAAGTTTTTCCCTGTAATGAATCTGATTCAAAATCCCCACACCACTCCTTACGGGAAAAACAATCAAAAAAAGGACATCCATTGCACATGTGTGCATGCATGTGTACAAACATACACAAGAAAAAGAAGCCTAGTCAGGCCAATTCCTACTTCTCTGGGAAACTCTAGAAATTCTAGTACCTGAAACAGAAGATTTTAAATTTCAAAGGAATGGAAAGAAGAGGGAATGGCAGCTTCAGAGAGATGTCTCTTGTGGTCTCCTTGAAAAGCTACACCTTTGGCCAAGTTTTCAGCTCCTAATAAACTCTGTGTGAATGCTTAAAATTAGAAGAGGACATAGCTTTAAGAAGTCTGCTTGCATGTTCATCACTAGGTAGTATTTTCAGAACAATTACAGAGGATTTTCTCTTGATTGTCCTTCTCGTCAAAGGCCACAGTAACATGAACATCAGTCAAGCATTGGGATGACCTGTTCCTTTAGATTTTTTCATTTAAAAAGATCACCCAATGTGCAAAAGGAGACAGCAGATTTAAACGACCACACATCCAAACAACAAGGGAAGGAAAAGACAGTTCCAAATCGGGATTTAGAACTAAGCTAGGGGATTCAAGACTCATTTTTCCAGTCTTCTGAAGAGCTGTAGCACACAGTGAAGAAAATTTCTATTTCTTTCCCATCCAGAAAAGACAGAATGAGGACAAATACCAACTATCTTTGGGAGCTTACATAAATTTATGTTATGGTTTCAACCTTACCATAAGGAACAAATTTTGGTAGTTGGGTTAGTGGACATTACCTTTCCTACTTACCTCTTCAAAAGAAAAAAAAAAATAAAATAGTAATAATGAACAGTAGACTTGAAACTGATTTGAAGAGGAAAAACGCGCAAAGTTCAGTGCTCACGTGATGGTTCTGAGAACATCTCAGCTGTAATTTGTGGTATCAAGGTATTATGATAATGCTTAATGGTAATAATACAGTGTATTCCCAGTCTCACATACAAAACTAACAGCCAAGATTGTTGTGCCCTCTAATTTTGGATACCACAATAAAAGCACCTAAATGACCAAGCCCTGATTTTTCACAGGATTTGACTGCCTTCTCTACTAACCTGGACATTCAAATTAAACAACTGCTGACTGCTGTGAGAAGTAAATTTTAGTTGACTTGTCTCAGGTCAATACCCATTAGTTCATGTTATCACAAAAGCACCTCTACATTTCTTCCTCTGTTCTTCACTAGCAGATTTCCAATCAGTAATTTTTAAAATGGCACTTCCCAAAGTTTTTACTATACAAATAACCCTTCCTACACCCTCTTGTTGTACTAAGAAATGCCTTAATTTTACCTTTCAGCACTGCCTGCTGCCCTCTCATGATAAACTACAATCCCTTGCTGCACTGTGCTGCAGAAATGTAGTGGTAGCTCTCTATACCACTGTTTGGCCAATCATATCAGCTGGTCTAATAAAGTACATTTCATTATCTACACTGTTTATCTTGCTAATGCACTTAGACCATTATCCCAATCTAGGAGTCAGTATTCAATTTTTATGCTTTTCAAATCTCTTGATCTTCAAATTTTGCTAACTTAGAATAAAACTGCACATCAAGTTTGATGTGCAACTGGTTTCTTTTCTCCAAAACTGCATTTCTGGGATGAACACACAATTGGAAAAGACAAACTGTCTTACTCTCATGGACACACTGAACGAGTCCTCACCGCATCCTGCTTTATAAAAACAGGTTCAATGTTATATGAAAGATTTCAGACAACTTCTTCCAATTAAATCTTATATTTTTACTGTCTCGTTACACTTGCTCTTGAGAGAAAGGAGTGAAGCAAGAACCAATGCAGTAGAATGCTTTGCATTACAGGGAGTGACTGGGAAAGGAAAAAGCACCACTTGTCTTAAGGCAAGAAATTGGCATCAGGAGTCTCCTGGGTTCTGGAAGAAGAGCAGTAATGACTGATAAGGAAAAGACAAATTTGCAAAACCCTGAGGAATAAAAAGTTTCACATGCATCCAACTGAAAGATCATGACAAAAGTAACTGAAATCTAAAAGAAAAAAACCTTAGGGAATTAACTATACAATTCCACTCACAAGGAGTCACAAGAGGCCAAAGAAAAACATATTCAAAAATCAAGTCTACACAACAGAATGTTACGTTTAGATTCAGTAAATTTCCAAGGGGAAAAAGTGATGCAATTGCTATTG